TAGAAGAGGGGGAAGATGCATAAATGGGGAGAGCTGCTCATTGTAGACACTAGGAAATAAGACCTGGATCTAGGGAGGAGATAAGGAAAGAGTGAGCTGAGACAAGATGTTTTCTTATTCCTTTGCTCAGAGAGTCTGCTCAGTTAAAGGAAAGGGGGAAGACTCCTTGGAGAATAACAAGATTACACACTGTGCAGTAAGAAACACTACAGGGAGGGATTTCTTCCTGACTCAAGAAAGGTTGGAGGCTGGAACAACAAAGACTGAAGAGTTAACACTGGGGGGGGGACCTTGGACCTACTTCCCAAGAGACACATAATAGCATCTCAAATAGACAAAGCGATAGCTCACTGATCTCTTCTTTCAGTCTACCTTTCAGGCTGAACACCTCATGTTTCATTCAACTAAGGTGAGTTTTGAGCCCCTCACTCTGCTGGTGGGTCTCTTCTGTGTTCTGCGTCAATCCCACTTAGTAGTCTGTGCTCTAAAGGGAACATAGTATCCAAACGTGGCATAACCGGCACACACAGAGCATGTCACCTCCCTTGCTCTGGACCTGAAACTTCATGTGCAGCTGAAAATTTCATCAGCCTTGTATTTTGCAAGCCATCTCAGACCTCAGATTTTTCTCTACTCGTTTCTTTCCCTTATTTTGCTGATGTGCAGTGTGTATTTTTCCCCCTGCAATTTTCTCTCTGCCGCTGTAAAAGAGGCAAGACGGATCCAGCTGTGGGAGAGGCGTCTGTGCTCTGTCTTCCTGTCATTAATAAACCCCCAAGCTCTGTTCTCATTCCCAAGCTGCTAATGTCGGGTAATGAGTTGCAAGTCGGAACACACACAGCTGGAGAGTCAGACCCCAGGTTCAGTTTTGTTTTCTGACACGTCACCTGTCTGGAGTTTGACAGTAAGACTAGCTGAGCTGGGGAAGTTATTAGAGGAGGAAGAATATGGGGTTATGAAGAAGGTCACTCCTTTGACCCATCTGCTACCAAACCACTGGGAGAAAAATTTCTCTCTTGATCTCTGAAATCAATTTGTAGAAATTTCAGCTCCTGAGGCAGATACTATTATAGTTGTTATGCTATTAAAACTTCTGCAGAGCCGTTTTTCTTGAAGGCTAGGAAAACTGGGGCTACGTTGGTATTGGTTTGATTGCTACTGATGTAAACATCTCTGAATTGTATTTATATTTTCCACATGTGCAAGTAACCTAAGAACTTCAAATTAAATAACAAAGCAGAGTGTCAAGGCACGACTAGACTTTTTTAAAGTGAAACTGAGTATAATAATAACAGCTTTCAGCAATTGTGAAAATGCCAATGCAAGAAAATTAGTTCTAACATAAGCCTAGCTGTGGCATTTTATGGAAAATGTTCTCATCTGAGCATGGAGCATTCAAATAATGAATTTACAATGAGAAACACAAGGAAATCACAGAGAGCCATTACTTACAATAAGAAAAAAACAAGTACACTTTAATGATTATAGATTTGAGTATGGGCGATTTTGCCTGATTCTTGGTACAGCACCTCTTTGTCATTGGAGGGCTGTCTGATGATCTGGGTAAGTATCGCGGGTGAATGTCTTTGTGTTTGCTCAGCAGAGAACAACAGTTGCAATATGTAAATAGGGTGCCGCTTCCCTTTGGATGCCTTGGGATATGTATAATAGATTACGTTGGCTTTGTGCAGAGCGAACAGGTCTGTATTACCAAGGATATGAATAATGTCAGTTTCCATAATTGCTAACATCTGGCTTTCCATAAATCTGTTAAATTGCATGGCAGCAGAATTAGATTTCTGTGTCATAAGTAAAGCGATTACATGGAACTTGGTAGGCAATATGGTCCTGTGTTCAACTGTGAAATCCTTTCATTCTGCAACAGCAAAAGCAAATCCAGGTTTTGCACCCTTGTTTTTATTGTGCGCCCTAGGTGTGCTTATCTTTATGCTCAGGTTTCTTAATTTATGAGAGGAAAACACTGACAATATGTTTGCAACTTTGTAAATGCAAAGGAACCAAATGTTAAAGAAGCATAGTATAGTTGGGCATTAACTGCCAATTTAGAGAGTATTTTGGAGGAGACTGTGAATTAAAGGTCCTTTTGCAGCCACTGGTTGTGGGTCAGTGGAAATTAATCTTCCAGACAATTCTTTGAGTGATACGTTGATGGGTCTCCCCTCTGACCTTGGCCTCAAGCATTTGACAGGAAACTGGGATGGGGAGGGAGGAGGAAAGGTTGCCTTCCTGTTTCCGCATGGTTACTATTTTCTGTATTTATTGTACTTTGAACTAGACCCAGGAGCTTTCCCAGATGAAAACTCAACAAAATGCGTTCCCCAAAGAGGAGGGTTGTGGCTATGCCTTACGCTTCTAAACACCCCAAAGACCAAACTTTGGCAAAGCAGGCTTTATAATAATCTTTTGGTCTATAAATTTCTGAGATTTATGCAAGTTAAATGAAATAAATATATTGTACATCCAGAGTGTATTCTGTCGTACTTGGTACTAAGAAGAGAAAAAGGAAAAAGACTTAATCCTTGCTCTCAATGAGCTCACCATCTGTCTGTGGGGCCATGGACATGGTAAACATGTCACTCCAGAGAGAGGAATGTAAGGATAGCCTTGTGTGTACAGAGAAAGTCAGCAGTGTGTTGCAGAATGAGGGATGGTGATGCTTGGTTTTGACGTTGAAGAATGCAGGGGAGGAAGGGAGGTGTTTACCTTATCAATTCATTAATTTAGACTCCACCCATCCCATACAGGCTAGCAAACCGAAGAGACAAGGGGGAGGAGAGCACTCCCATAAGTAGAAAAGGCATGTTCCAAGGCACAGGCAGAGCAAACGTCACGGCCTGTCTGTGGGTCACCCATTGCTGTTGAAAGCCAGAAGGTAACAACTGAAGTTGCTGGATCAGGGCGTATATACATGCTGGGAGTTTGAACTTTCTATTATAAGCGTCAGAGAACCCCTGATAGGTGGCGGGCAGAGGAATGACATGGACAGATACACTTTTTAGAACACCACTACACCGTGAAGGGTATTTAAGGCAGTGGTTCGTCTCTGGCTGCACAAAGCCCAGATGTCTGGCTCCCAATTTACACCAGTTAAATCAGTCTCTAGGGGTGGTAAGCCTGGACACCAGTACTTTATAAAGGCTCTCCAAATATTTGTATTTTACTCACAGTCTCCACATACTTCTGTTGTGCCCACAATCAAAAATTGCTGGATTAGAATGAGAAGTGGCTGGAGTCAGGTGAGACCATACAGGAGGCTAATGAAATAATCCTGGTGATAGGATTGAAATGTAAGCTAACAGAATTCAAAGAAATCTGAATATTATTTTTATAATTACATAGGCGATAAGCCACCTGCCTATCACTGAATTACTCTCTATGTGTATTTCTTAGATATACAAACTAGATTATAAATGTGACGAGGGAAGTATGAGACTGAATGTTTTGTTACTTCCAGCAAAAACTGGAGAGTGAGAATAATGCAAACATATCACTTTAGTATTGTTCCAAGAACGTATATACGTAAACAGCAAGAAACATATCTCCAGTTGTCACTGCAGTGAGTCTTCAGAGAAGGTGAACAGTTACAATAAATTGGCATCATATTAGGAGATGCTTAACTAAGGAGCTAGGGCTTGAACTTTGTCTTAATCCTTTACATTCATTAAGTCAAGACACAGGTGGGCCATTAATGTGACCACTCAGCCATCTCTGTAACTTACTTTCTTCTTTTGTAAACTGAGGACAACTCTTTCCATCTTGCAACTATGTGGGACAACTCATGAGAAAGAACTGTGAAAAACTTTGAAATGATTTTCTGTAAAAATATAAAGTGGTAACAGTACATTTGATATTATGCCTTTGAGCACTTCATAGCTTTGGGTACTTTAGGGGGAAATGCGACTTTCAATTATTCTTTTCTGTAATTTAGTTCCATAACCCTTAAACAAATGAGTACAACCGTATGCATATTTAACATGAAATTTAGGACGAAGGAAAGTTAATTAATGCTGTTCTTAGTCTGGCTACCGTAGGATTCAAGGCTACCCATCGGTAGCCTACCAGCAGTTACCTGTACTCCTCCTCGTCCCTTGCATGAGGACGGTGTCTCACACGTCATTGCCAACATTTACAGCACCAGTGTGCAGAGCACCTGGTGCATAGAAGGCTTTTGGAAAAAATGTGTTGGAGTCAAGTAGTCATCTGAAAGATATTTGAAGGACTTGGCAGTAGGTCAATAAGTGGAGAAGACAAATGACCTGATAGACAAATGCCCAATGTCTTCAAATAGCTTTAAAAATGGTCATAAATAAGAACCACCAAATAGACTTTCCTTGACTAGTCTCAGAACTAGTACCCAGAGGCAGAAGTTACTGAATAATACATTTCACTTAAATTTAATGTCTCTGAAAGAGTTATTCCAAGATGAACTGGCTGTCTTGTGAAGTACTAGATTGTCTGCTGGGAAGGGACTCATACCACGGGCTGGACAGCTATGTGTTTGAGATGTGGTTAAGGTCACCCAAGCTCTAAAAGTCAGGAAGGGCTCCTGGATTTATGGTTTTCCTTTCATTCTTGGGCTGTCAATTCAAAAAAAAAAAAAAACAGCAAACAATATGTGTGTGTCCCATCAGCATCCATGCTGTACCCTAACTGTAGCTGTGAGATGTTTTCTTATGTGGACCAAAATGCTGCTGGCCATTAGGGTGGTGAGGTTTTGATGAAGCAAGGCACCTCCCGAGCATTATTCCCTTTTTTCAACTTTGGCCACAGGATCTGCAGTCAGTCTAATTGGCTCAGGGTTGCCCTAACTGCCCACTTGTTCCTACTCAGTGACTAATCTATTCAGGCTAACCTTATCTAAAAAGACCCAGATCTCCATGGGGATGTATTCCCACCATTAATGAATTAGCAGTGTTTAT